CCGAAGAAATTTCTGTGGTCATGTGGCCGGCATGACTAAACACCGAGGCGCACGGAATGCTGTTACCTTCCCACTGAAGTGGTACCTATTTATCTACTTGCAATTTCTTGCTTTCGAACTGCTAGGTTGGCAGGAGCTGGAACCAGAGACGGGAGCTCATCTGTCATGCGGCAACCTGGGTCTCGAACCGCTGAACTACCGACCTTCCACAGCCAGCAGTGTCTTCACCACTTGAGCCGCCGCAGTATTTATTAGCAAACCTACAAAGCACAGTACTCCTTCTGCAAAGGGGATCCTCCCACTGTTGAGTGCTTTGGGGGGCAAGTTCATAGAAGTTGGCAGCACAGTTTCCAAGTGGAAAAGGTTTGTAGAAAAAGATGTTTCCTCCTGCTCTGGGCTGCGGTGATGACTCTATCACCCTGCCCTTCAGCCAGTCATGCAGTTGTCTGCCTGGAGACATGGAGGAAAGGAGGAGGAAAGGAGTTAAATGATAATTAGTTTTGCAGCTCAAACAGGACAACAGAAGTTGATCCCTCCACTGAAGTCAACAAGACCCCTCCCCAATAAATGGAATGTGGAACACACCCAAACTGACAATATTACTCCTATTTCTCCTGGGGCTACACTCCCACTGATCAGCATTACTGCCTTAGAAGAAAAAGGATGTGGTCATTTCAAGCAAAGTTCAGTTCGTCAACACTGATGTGGCCTCCTCCATGTGTGAGAGACCTGCAGGAATTCCTTTGATTGCCCCCCCCCAAATGCCTGGGTGCAGCTCACTGAGCATGCTCCATTTTTCTAAAAAAAGATTAATTGTAACATATAGGCATACGGATCTAATATATTCAGATAAAATAAACATAAAACAATAATTAATCAATATAATTAAAAATGATCAGTATTACCTATAAAATTTTAAGTATCTAAAACATTAGTCTGTTGTAAACTGCTTACCAGTAATGATAATATATTAACAATTAGTGTTGCCAGCCTCCAGGTGGAGCCTGGAGATCTCCTGCTTTTACAACTAATCTCCAGCTCCCCTGGAGAAAATGGCTGCTTTGAGGGGTGGACTCTCTGGCCTTGTACCATGCTGAGGCCCCTCCCCTCCCCAAACCCCGCCTTCTCCTAGATCCATCCCCAACCCACACCTGGCAACCCTAATAACAATCATTTATAACAAATATAACAATAAATTTGCCGACTTAAAACAATCACCATTTCTGTGATTCAGTGTATGGGGGGGGGGAGTAGAAATGGCCTGGGGCCTCATATATGGAGTGGACCATATCAGCATTGAAAAAGGATACTATTTCTCTGGATCTTTATCTCCGTTTTCCTGAATGAAGGACAAAGTGGCCCTTGAAAATACAAATATTAGCCAATCCATTTCTGGTAATAAGAATTGTTTGGCAAAACCTCACATTCTGTCAAATATGCAAATATACAATACCATGTCTGGATAAACTTTTCTGCTGAGTTATTGTTAACCGGCATATCTAAATTAACCACAGTTTTGTGCATAATTAAATAATCCAGTTTTAATTTTAGAGATGTTTCCAGTTAAACCAGAATCCAGGAGGTGTGGATCACAGCATGATCATAGCACGCAGCAACATTTTGGAACAGCAGAAGAAGGGAACTAGAGACCATCTTTTATTCTGTTCAGTTTTAACAAGTGGCTATCCAGTGCTGGATTGGCTAATATTTGTATTTTCAAGGGCCACTTTGTCCTTCATTCAGGAAAACGGAGATAAAGATCCAGAGAAATAGTATCCTTTTTCAATGCTGATATGGTCCACTCCATATATGAGGCCCCAGGCCATTTCTACTCTCCCCCCCCCCCATACACTGCATCTCTGTTAAATAGTTGTCTGCCTGATGTTTATCTTCCGATAATTCACACCTGAAAACAGGAAGACTTTGTGAATTTGCAGTATTCCCAGGGCTATTTTTGGGCAGGAACGCACAGGAACGGAGTTCCGGCTGCCTCCCAAGTTGGCCACGCCCGGCAGGAACTCATTAGCATATTCACATCCAACAGCAGAATCTCATTAGGATTGGCTACAATTAGGGGTGTGTGGCCTAACATGCAAAAAGCCCTGGGTTTTGACAACAAACAAGGTAAAGAGAATAAGAAACAAAAGGTAGGTGTGGCTGGATGACCACACTTCTGGCAACATGGGGGTGTGGCCTTATATGCGAATGAGCTGTGCTGTCAGGGTGTGGCCTAATATGCTAATGAGTTCCTGCTGTTGTGTTTGGCCTATTATGCTAATGAGTTCCTGCTGGGCTTTTTCTACAAAAAAAGCCCTGAGTATTCCTATTTCCATGTCAAACAGCGTTTAGGTTAAGAGAGGTCATTGCATGCATCATGGGTCCTGTAGTCTTTAGGCTGCGAAAGTATATATTTTATTTAAAATATTTATATGCTGCCGTTCCTCGGCTCATGACGTACAATGCAACTTTATACAGTGGTGAAGCATCAAAAAACATAACAGGAAAACTCTAACAGCACAGAAATTCAGCAGCCAAAAACAGCCACTCAGGACAAGCCCCCCCCCCCCCAAGTCTCCCAAAGATACCTGGAATTCGGTATCTGAAGAAGGGTGCATGCACACAAAAGCTTATCCCCAGAATAAGACTTTGTTGATCTTAAAGGTGCCACTGGACTCAAAACTTTGTTCTGAAATTAAGGACAGTATTGAATTTCATGGTTTGGTTTGATTAGACAGTTTGAGGTTCTTTTATGATTTATCCACACTTGGGGTAAAACTGCAGCAATCTTTTTTCTTCATCTGTAATATAATTCAAGAGCAATATTGTCTATATATTACATATCCACGGTGTTAAAGTGGTATAAAAGAAACACACAAAAGCAGGAAATGTAGTAAAAAGAATAGTCTGGACAAAAATGGCCTCCCTCATCATGCTCAAAATTTAAAAGCAATGGAGAAATACAGAGATTGTAGCTGAAATAGCTGACTCCCAGCAGCATTTTTGAAAGGTGAGAAGGAAGACGCGAATCCTGTCTTCCCAACCTCCAAGGAGGGCCTGGAGTTGTCCCAGAATTATAACTGATCACCAGAGTGCAGAGATCAGTTTTTGTTGAACTCTCTTGGTCAGAATTACACTTCTGAAGTTTTATGACATATGAATCAGTTGCTTCAACTGATCAAAGGCTAGGTTGTTCCTTAAAGCATCCCTGATCTGTGAAAAGCCATGTTTGTCATTCCAGGAAGTCAAGCTTGGTTTCTGCACAGAGCCAGTAGAGGGCTCTGATCTCTCACATTTGAGAGCTCAGCCGGCCACTCAAAGGGATTTCTAAAACTTTAAAGCGGGAACACGGTTTTGTGGCATTTGGGTACTGCGTGGCTTTTGTTTCGGGTAGAAAGGTGGCAGTGTCCTGTAACTTACAATGCCATTGAGGGGAGGAAAACATTCTTTAGCTTCATCTCCCAGTAAGTAAAGACATTTTTTCATGGGGGAGGGGGGAGGGGGGGAGGGAGGGAGAGAGAGAGAGAGAGAGAGAGAGCGATCAAGCTGTACGCATGCTTCAGCACCTACTAGAAGAGAAGAGATTGGATTTATACCCCGTCCTTCACTACCCAAAGGAGTCTCAGAGCGGCTTACAATCTCCTTTCCTTTCCACTCCCCAGAACAGACACCCTGTGAGGTAGATGGGGCTGAGAGAGCTCTTTCAAGAACTGCTCTCGAGGGAGAACAGCTTTGAAAGAACTCACGACTGACCCAAGGTCACCCCAGCAGCTGCATGTGGAGAAGTGGAGAATCAAACCTGTTTCTCCCAGGGTAGAGTCTGTGCTCCTAACCACTATAGCAAACTGGCTTTCTTAAATTAGAACCAAGCTTTATCGCTTCAGTGGCATACTCCATTTGGAATAATCTTTCCTCTGGAGAAAAGGTATTCACACCCCTGTCATATACAGAGCAAGTAAGGAACATGCTGTTGGCAGGTGCTGCAGCACAGGGAAAGACGGGAACACACACGGACTATGAAGATGGAAAGTCCTGATTCGAGCTCCACTCTAGCCAAGGATGGCTGTGGCCCTGTCAGTGCAGCACCTAATTTTCACACACCACGGTGTACCAAACATCCAACTACCAACCTCCACTTCCTGGTCTGACTAATAAATGTTGATTGTGCAGGTGTAAAAGCAAAGAAGCTTCTTGAAATCTCCCTCACTATTAAATCTGAGCTATGTCAGGACCCACAGCCAAACAATGAAGTACACGCTTCCAAGAAGGTTTTACTTTTATTGAAAAGCCATAGATGCAGTAACATGAACACTGTTAGGAATGGCGGGCTATCAATGTGCATAATAGGATATAGGGCATTCGTATGAGCCCCCCCCCCCCAGCAACACCCAATTAGATGGGCTCCCGCACGTGGGATTCAGGAAATTTAGTTAGAACTTCCGGTTAGGGAGGATGCCTAGCGCCTAACACAAAAGGAGCATTATGAGCACAGAACACTCATATTACACGCTCATTGGCTGGCAAATTTACTAATAGGAAAATTGTTTGTGGCAGGATGCCGGTCCAACTAGCACAGTAGTTGCTATTCTTTCTAGAAGCAGTTCTATTTGGTCTCAGGGAGAGAGAAAAAGAGGACATAATTTTAGCCAGAGAAGACTGGAGAAGGGGGTAATGCTCATTTAATCTTGCATTGATGGTGGTGACTCCTTATAGCCAGTAAAACATATATTCTACACATGCAACAGAAGGAGATGGTAATGAGCTGGGCAAATGGACAGCATCATAAGCAATATCATCGACATTGTTTGTACCTCTTGAAAATTAATAAAATATTATATATTTTTTTAAAAAAGCAATATCATGAGCTAGGTTAGAGCCTTTAGATGCATAATGCTTCCAGTGAGTTTAGTGCCTTTACAGAGTGACAACATGAAGAATGGTCCCTGCCCTGAGGAGTTTCCAATCTAATATGATTTTTATTTTTATTTCATGGGTTATTTCAGCAGAACCTACCATGAGTTTCATGAAGACTATGCTATCTGAGAAAGCAGCTGCATATCTTCAAGGTCAGTGAGGGCATTTAAGCCATTTTTTAAAAACTCTAATGGATTTGCAATGACTCTGGTCAAAGCTCCAGTGTTTCTTTGTTGCATACCTGTTGTTGAATACTTGACATCCTCCTTTTCTGTCTGAGCCATGTGTGATGGGAACTCACTGCACCGTGGGCATTCTCTGCCCTTTTAGGTGTGATTAGTTTCGAAATCCTTTAGGCATGGTGAGAAGAGAAGTCATAATTTCAGCATATGCCGCTTGCTTTACACCAAGTCAGACAATTGGTCCATCTAGCTCATTATTGTTTTGCTCTGATTGGCAGCAGCTCTCCAGGTTTTCAGGAAGAGATGGACCTCACCTGCTAGCTCAGATTCTTTAACTGGGGATGACTGAAATTCAACTTGACACCTTCTGCTTGCAAAGCAAGAGATCTATTTGGGCTAAGAGGATTTTAGCTCAGTGGCGGAACATGCAGAGAGTCCCAGATTCTCTAGTTAAAGGATTTCAGGTTGCAGGTGTTTCATCTTTATCTGCCTCAGACCCAGAAGAGTGACTGTTGGTGTATGTTGCCTCTTATTCCTTCTGGCAGCTCCCTGGTGGAATTTCCATGGATGGAGTCTGTTCTGGGAATTGTAGGGATGAAGGGATTTTCCTGATACTATTCCTTTGTTATTCTGGAACTTTGCTGTTTGCTATACCCAAGTTCCAACATTTCTTTATTTCCAGTTTAACCAGGATAATTTCTAAAATTAATTCCTGAGCTAGACCACATGCAGTTCGCTCTCTATTCTTTCAGTTCACGCATACCTTTTCCCTTTTGTTTTAAAAAGTTTACTTTCTAAACTACTGGTGCACATCAGTAAAAGGCCACACTTAAAAAAAAACTTGTATAATGACACCAAGATTTGGGGTGGGGGTGTCTTTCAATGCATACATGCACATCAATGTTGTTGGGTTTTTTTGGGGGGTGCAAATGCATGGATGGAAGGAACAGTAATGCTGTAGCAAAGTGCACATGCACAGGGCTTTGTATGAAATTTGGAAATAAGATTTGGAAGGTTCTCAAGCACCAGTTCCACTTTATAATTGAGGATTCAAAATCCAAAAAGGAAATTAGATGAGAATTTTGGAAGCATCCCTAAGAAAAAGCGTTCAGAACAATAGAGACAGTTTTCTACCTCATGCATTCTTCAGCTGCTAAGTGGATGAGATCAGTGGAGTTACTTGTATGCGCATGTAAATAATTATTACAAAGACTCTACGTATTAAGGATTCTAGGTGAGCATCATATACACCATGTAATTACTGCTAATGAAATTCAGGATTTTCCCCTCTTTTAAGGAGATATGCTTTGCCAATTGTTTATGCTCCCTGATGCAGTTCTAATTTTCTGCATCTTTAATGCATATTCTCTAGAAATTCCATAGATGGGCGATGCCAATAGTCTGATTAGAAGTGATAACCAACAGGATCGGAGTTGATTTCCTGAACGTCTTATCAGTACTTCCAGAGATAATTGCAGTTTTTTTAATGTACATTCATTTACGCAGAGACTCACGATTTACGTCGGTAAAACTCGCAAATAGTGTTATGAGAGTTAATGAGTTGTAGAGGATGTTTTCAAAATATATCCCTTATCAATGGTTTATGTTTCCTGCAATATTCTTTATACTTCTTTAGTGAATTTGATTGTGAATATGATCTGTTCATATCCCTTAGGAGCTTCCCTGCTCTATGTGCTTCTGTTTAGAGATGTTTCTGAAATTCTCCTCACCCAAATTGCTCCCTCATTGACATGGCCTTGTCAGTGACATGAGACTGACACATTAGAAATCCTCTTTGGTTTCACCTTCCATTTTTCCTATTTCTGATAGGCTTTGTTAGCCACAACTTTCAGTTCCTCCACTCTTATTTGCATACCTTCCACTACTTTTACAATATGCAAATGTGCACTGATTGAAAATTTGAAATGGCAGTGACCATGTGCTCATATAAGTTGAATCACAATTCTTTTTCATGGTGTTTTACTAATGTGTGTTGACTGAAAATCGATTTATGTGCTCATATGCAAGGTTGAGTCACAATCTCTCTCTCTCTCTCTCTCTGTTGTGGCAGGGCAAATTTCATGTGCTACATGGTGGGGTGGTGAAATAAGATTGGGGGGGGGAAACGAAAGCTGCTGCAAACGACTCATGCTGCCATCCAGAATTAACTTTCTGAAAGTCTCTGAGTTAAATCAGAATTAAGGAGGAATGAAATGCATGCCAAGTCCCAGAACTGTGCAGGGTGTTGAACTCATTTGTGATAAGGGCCAGATCTGACATAAATGGGATTTTGTCAGTCTGAGCCATGTTTGTCATAAATGTAATACCAGGTAGCGAAGATAAAAGGACACAGGCAAGCACAATTAAAGATGCAGTGCAGCACTGGGCTGATGCCCTGTACTGCCTGGAGTGGGGAGCAAACCCTTTCCCCAGCCTGCTCTCATGGTCAATATGCTGAGCCTAGGACCCAGGGGTAAACATGAAATGGCAGGACATTGCAAGCTCACATTGCAAACCCCCCCCCCCCCCCCAGTCTACTCAAAGTGGCAGTGGCTCTCCAAGGTCTCAGGCTGAAGTCTTTTTCATAATAAGCCGCAGCCTGGTCCTTTTAACTGGAGGTGCCAGGGACAGACCCACCTGGCTCCTTAGCTCAATGAACACAAGATAAAAGCCTCCACCGGGAAGCTCAACTTTTGCAGCCAAGCCCCCTTCCCCTCAGCCAGCAAACTTCAGCAGATAACTCTAGCAAACCCACCTGGCTCCTTTGCTCAATCAACACAAGAGAAAACCCCCCACCGGGAAGCTCAACATTTGCAACCAAGCCCCCTCCCCCTCAGCCAGCAAACTTCAGCAACTAAACCACTCTAGCAGACCCACGTGGGCACAGGAGCAGCCAGCAAAGATGAGGAAACATTGGCAGCCCTGCCCTCTGCTCTCTGCACTCAGAGGGAGCTTGGAAAGGCAAGGACAGGAGGGGGTAGGGCAGGGGAGGGGAGGGGGGAGAGAAGAGAGCCATGGGCTTTATTAAAGCCCTAGGCAGGCGGATTCCAGCCCGCGGGCCGTATGTTTGACACCCCTGTGCCAAGAACCTGGGGCAGCTGAAGTGGAGTCAACACGTTTCTGACTCCCCCCTCCCACCCTGAGTTTCAAGATAGTAAATCCCAAGGGGTGCTAAATAAGGCTAGATCTGTTCTGAATGATCCTTCAAATAGCAGTCTGTGCCTTTACAAAAAGTTGCCATTCAAGGAGCAAAGAAAGAATAAGATTGATATACCTTTCTTGCTGTGGTCTCTGTAGGGTGAATGCAAATTTTTGGGCCACAGAGACATCCCGATGCAAGCTGATTGTACGGAATGCAGTGTTCTGCTATCAGTGTACAACAGCACCAGTGTAACGTAGTGGTCAGATTGCTAGATTTTCTAAGACTTCGACCAATATTTGTTGGAAATGCAGACAGAACGTTGGCACCTACTTCCACATGTGGTGGACATGTTGCATAGCTAAAGAATATTGGGGGGAGATTGGAGAGATATTGAACAAAATTATGGAGATAGTAATACCATTAAAACCGGAATTATTCCTATTGAACATTTTCCCCAAAATATATGGAAGAGGAGAGAAAAATCTGTTGTTACACTGTATAATAGCTGCAAGAATAAGTTATGCCAAGTATTGGAAAACAGATAAGATCCCAGATAAATTAGAGGTGATACAAAAACTTTTTGAGGTCGTCAAAATGGATAAAATATCGTGTATATTAAAAGGGAAAGACGAAGATCTGTTTGAGAAAAATTGGGGGGAAACTATACAAATGGAAACTCAAAATGAAGGGTCAGGAAGAGATTTGAGATATGAATTATCCGATGTAAATATGGCTGTATGCTCGTCTATGTATAGCGTATAATTCGAATATGTTGTTGGATGTTGGTTAATAGATAAAATCAATAAAAATATATTTTTTAAAAAGATTGCTAGATTAAGACATGAGAGACCTGGGTTCAAATCGCCATTCAGCTCAGCAGGGTGGTCCAGGCACTCTCTCTAAAACATACAGTCCCATTGGAGCCAGCAATACGGCTTGAGCAGCAGAGTGTTTCATTTTAAGGATAGCTTCAGGTGGGGAGCTGTGTTGGTGTGCCGTCAAAGAGCGAGATTCGAGCCCAGTTGCGGCTTAAAGACTAAGAAGATTCCCAGGGTATAAGGTTTCAAGAGTCAAATCTCCCTTTGTCAGGTATGTGCCTGTATGGTCCTTAAAGTGCTACTGGTCTCAGATCTCGCTTATTTTAGTGACTGATTTATTTCAAAAAAATGGCTGTTTTTATTGGCCTAGAAGGCCAATAAGAATGGTCTAAGAGTGCTTCTTTGTTCTCTCTCTGTGTCACATACTTTTCCCAGGTGAAGGGTTCTTCTGGGCAGTATTCCCTCTAAGCTGAGTTAGTGTGAGCTGGCTCACTGTTTTTTAGCCTCCAGCTCACACAGTTGTGTCTCAGCTCAGGAAGGATGGCTCCAAAGGGCAGATATCATCAGCCACTATCCCTTGGTCATTTATTTCCTGGCTTCCCAAGCTTCACCTCATGGCACTGTGGTAAAGGATCATCAACTATTTTGGTTCATGCCCTTTAAAAGACAATGAACATAACCTCAATATCAAATCAACAATGGTCCACATCAACTCAACAAAGCCAATAGAGGGATAGATAACTGAAGCGAATAGTGTCAAAAAGCAAACTGTGAAACAAATTGGTCTCAAACACTTGTTGAGAAAGAAACATGTTGATCAGGTGTCTAAAGGCCAAGAAGGATGGGGCTCAGTGGACCTCTCTAAGTAGCACATTCTCTATTCTTGGTGCTACCATTGAATATGTCCTGTCGCTGCATTTCTGATGGGAAGGGAATAGAACAAGGTCTCTGCAGATAATCTTAGTGTAGACAGATATGGTTCTTAAGATAGTCTGTCCCTACAGTTTAAGGCTTAATAAAATGAGCTCTCCAATGATCCCCATTAACCAATGACAACCCCTATTTCGTTGCCTTGTCTCCAATAAACCACTCATCCTATTTGGTTATATTTGCCCTTGGAGATGCCTGCTGAAAATGTCAGTGTGAACTACTAGCAGTATCATTCTTTGACGTTCAGCTCCCTCCTCCCCTCCTCAAGATTTCCAGAAATTAAATCTCTGAGCATGGAAGGGAAGCAATTTACACACATGAAGATCATGAGTCATCTGCAGACCGCTATATCCCACACTGTTGCTGCAGAGATACCTTTTGAACAGTTGATAAAAGATTGCAGAACACTAATTGTTTTCCTACAGCATTTTTTAAAATGCAAAATGAACATCTGCTTGTGCCTAAAAAACGTGCCAAACAGGGGAACGACAAATTAATACAACAAGCAGAGCAGAATTTTCAGCAGTGTATAGTTGTGGGGTTCAAACAGGCACCCTTAGTATGAAAATAGGAGCGGCTCAAGTGTGTCTCTGTTTTCATTGGTGAAATGAACCAGCATTTGTGAAATTCTGGAGGGTATGAGACCCTTTTCAATGCTCATGGTTTTCTCTCTCTTCCCCCACCTATCCCAGTGTTAAAACCAGTCAACCGGTCACGTCTGAGGTGGATCAAAGACGGCATTCTCTACAACATAGACTACGATGATGGAAACCTTGTGATCCAGCAGCCTGGACTGTATTTCATCTATTGCCATTTACACTTTTACATCAACAGGTGCCCAGACACGACGTCTGATGTAAAGCTAGAGATTTTTGTGAATGAGACTTCTCAGAAACAAACTCTGTTAACACTGTGCAGCTGTGACAAGGCATCCAATAGGACATACCATGATCTCGTTGGGGTACTTCTGATCGAGCTGAAGAAGGGAAATCGAATAGCCGTGAATGTCGAACCATTTGAATATGTGGACACAGTTGTTCTTACTTCAAACAATGTCTTAGGAGCTTTCAAGTACAGTGGTGAAGACTGGATGTCCCTTTTTCAGGACAGTATCTCAAAACGGTCTTTAGCTAAACATTAAACAGCGTCTTGTCTTTTAGGTGTACCACATCCAGCCCCACTTAGAGGGGCTACAGAATATTCAGTTCTCATTATGCTGGAGTTGTTTCAGTTGCCATTATTTTTAAAGGATAGGCTTTCGCTGCAAACATCCCCGATCAAAGGGACTCTTCTGGAATGGGGGGGGGGGAATTCGACAAGAGACTGGGTTGTCATTACAAGGAGAGTGGGGACCAGAAGCATTTCCCAATGCAATGCCCTGACGCCTTCTATTCCGTTTGCTGGGCCACTGACTTCAATTGGAGGGACCTGCTTTTATTGCTGTTTGATCTGCAAATATAACCAACATATCGCCAATTTCCTCCTCCTCTTCAGCACCTCCGCAGGCAAACAGATACCTTGGCTGGCTGACTGGATCGTAAAGCCATGAGCCTGGCCCAGAGCAGCAAGAAACACTTGCCAGCTCAAGGTCCTGATAGACCAGATGCTGCCAAAATTTTTTTGTTTTCCGAATCCCACTAAGATTTAAAAACCACTAAAATAAGAAGAATCCATTTGCTGCATTTTGCAAATCAATACAATACTGTCATATTGTTTTTGTTATAATTTTGTATAAACTAATATTTTTCACCTTTTAACTTTTGAAATATAAAATTTTAATATTCAGCTGTATTAAATTCTGATGTTAAATACATATCGTTTGGGGAAAAATGACATGCATATATGTCTTTTCTTTTCAATTGACAAAAAACCCCAACATTCACACAGTCGGCCCCATCCCACCCCTGGGCCTGTCAAGGTCACATGCTATGGCTTTTCATGGGTTAGATCTTGGTTCCCCAAACTGCCTTTCTGTCAATCACTCACACATTGAGCTTCAGATTCCGGGCTCGCAGCTCAGTTCCCAAATGTGCAGGGATGCTATTTGGATCAGGACTGGGGGATGCAGGAAAAGAAGAAGAAGAGATTGGATTTATACCCCGCCCTTCATTACCCAAGGGAGTCTCAGAGCGGCTTACAAAATCCTTTCCCTTCCCCTCCCCACAACAGACACCCTTTGAGGTAGGCAGGGCTGAGAGAGCTTTCCTGAGAACAGCTCTGAAAGAACTTGTGGCTGACCCAAGGTCACCCCAGCAGCGGCATGTGGAGGAGTGGGGAATCAAACCTGGTTCTCCCAGATTAGAGTCCGTGCACTTAACCACTACACCAAACTGGCTCCTGCCTTCCTCACTGTGTGTTTTCCCAGCTCAAAATGGCTCTAGGGTGCACTATTTGCCCCACTGGGGGATACATGCATGCTGATGGGCTACTGGTGGGAAAGCAGAAGTCCTTTCTCCCCACACAGCCTAGTCCCAATCCAAACCAGGTTCCTGCATGCTAGGGAATTGGGACTGGGAACTCTCAATAGATACCCAGACACAATCCATCTTCAGTTCACTTGTATTCCCCTCGCACATGCACAATCACAAAACTCTGCACCCAAGCAACAGGAATGTGGCAACAACATCATGACTGCTTCAAAAACTCTTCTTTTTTGTGATATCTCACGTGTTCATGTGTGCTCCCTTGCATTAATAGAAAATCACACACATGATCACATCAAGCTTGCTTTTTCACAGTGTTTTATTAAAGCACACATGCATGTCAGTCACACACAGAGAGGCAACTATTCAAATTGACTGAGGTGTCTGAAAGCTGCAGCAAATTAGATATTGGCAGTGCTGTGTACAAAGGGGGGGGGCAGAACAATAGATGGTTATCAGTTTTTCTTAAGAAACAAGATGCAACAATTTGTAACTCCAGAACCGAGAATCTCTGAAGCATTTCTAATGTGGAAATTTCATAGCCCCGCCATTTTGATTTTTAAAAACACTGTTTTGATTTCCCCCTTGTGCAAATCATACTCACGAGCAATGCTCCCTCTATCTAAGCTGTGGAGTCTTGTGAGCACAAATTCTGCTTTGTGAGATCCTGGCATTAAAGTTGTGAGTGAGTGGCTGCTGCGTAAATTAGTTTGCTCTGGAGCCCTCCTTCCTGAGCCAAGACAAATATGTGTGAGCCGGAGGCTAAAAAACTGTGAGCTAGCTCACACTAACTCAGCTTAGGGGGAACACTGCTCATGAGTCTTTATTTCTGACTCCTTTTCCATCTCTTGTGCTGAATTTTCCCTGTTAAAATTCATGCCATGTTCATTATGATTGATGCACCAAAAGCATAAAAGCAGCCTGAGAGAAACACTTGAATCAGGAACATCAGAAATGAAAATTGGCCATAAGGATCACAGCAGCAACATCAGAGGTCATTTCGAGGGGGGGGGACGCGGGGGAACACAGTTCCCCCGGGTGAGGTGCAGGGGGCGGGGCACATGATGAAGCCCCGCCCCTTGCTTCCGGCTGCCCCGCTTCCGGCCCTCATTCAGCTAGGAGGAGGCAGGAGACGAGGGAGGGTAAGTTGCTTCCTCCCCGCCTCTCCCCACCTCTGCCTGCCTGGGGCCAGGGAGGGCCTTTGCGGGGCTTCCTTACACTCCCGCCGGCCTTGCAGGTCCACCGCCGGGCCCCTGATGTCAGGGGGTGTGGCATATGCTAATGAGTTATGCTAATGAGTTCCCCTAGCTCTTTTTCTACGAAATGACCCCTGAGCAACATTTTTTTTAAAAGAAACAAAAGGGGACATATTTGTACAACCACTCTTTAAATGCAGGATTGCCTTTCAGGTCAGGACTGATAAGAAAGGGTTTTTTCCCAAGAATCAAGTGTGTACTTTATTGGAGGCATGCTTATTTGAGTTGATGTTTGGAAATCTTAGCACAGGATAAATATAACTTCTGGCATTCAACTGGGAGGGCCATTTTAACCTCATTCATGTAATACTATTCAGCTCGTAGTGTTGCAAGTCTTCTCAAGTGTGTTGAAAGCTACTTCTGATCTCTGGGTTTACATGGCAATGTTGATATTTATTCCACTGTTTGGGAGACTTGCTTTGGATGATTTATTTTTTATTTATTTATTTATTTTTGGATTTGTATCCCGCCCTCCCGGAAGGCTCAAGGAGGCTAACAAGGGCATAAATGCCAGGTTAAAACAGTAAAAACAGTATAAAAAGTGCAGTAATAGAATACAATACAATCAATAAAACATCGGTGCTCCACTGATCACTCAATTCATAAAACCAAGATGGTGTTCTGGAGGTGTTATAACAGAACAACAGCCATATATGTACCCGCAGCCCTGTCATCCACCAGGAACGTCTCACACCCCCGATGATAACCGCTTAAGCGGTGGTAAAGTGCGGTGATGGAAAAAGTGGTGGTGGAATAATGGTGGCGGCGGCTCCTACTCAAAAGCCTGGCGGAAGAGCTCCGTTTTACAGGCCCTGCGGAACTGCACAAGGTCCCTGTAATGTACTGTCGCCATTACCACGTGTAGTGCATTCAGCCTGACATGCCCGGACTTGCCCGGGCTGGCCAGGCAATATTCCTCAGTAGCTTCAGTCGAAAGACAAAGGATCCATAGGATCCTAGCCGGCCCAATCAAAGGGCCAGCTTCCCAGCCGGGAGACCAATGGTCGCCCGGTTACTGTAAATAGCCTATCGGGAGTAGGGGGTGTGTTTAGGTGTGCTTGGTGGCGGGTTTTCTGAACGCATATAAACCGGCCTGCGAGCTGGTTTCCTTGTCTTTGTTCCTGATCTAATAAAGTACTCTTGCTGAATCACGCTTGCTGAATCACTCCACGTTCTGAATACTTTTCACTGGCGACGAAGGTGGGATCTACGACCCCATGAACAAGACCCGGACGCCAACACGAGCCCCGCACCGAGCCTGACGCCGAGACTCTCCGGTGGTTTCCTTGTCTTTGTTCCTGATCTAATAAAGTACTCTTGCTGAATCACGCTTGCTGAATCACTCCACGTTCTGAATACTTTTCACTGGCGACGAAGGTGGGATCTACGACCCCATGAACAAGACCCGGACGCCAACACGAGTACCGCACCGAGCCTGACGCCGAGACCTCTCCGGGAACCGCGCAACTTCGCATCCCAGCTCTCCGGCAACTGCTCATCGCTCCGCTCCCGGCTCCGTTTGCACACTGCTGACCCCTCGAGCAGCAGCATCGCTCTCCACGCCTAGCACGCTTCAGGCTAATCTCGCTCGACCATCGCGCCCGCCTCACCCGGTCCTCCGAGCGTCCACGAGCATCC